CAAAGAAATTACGGAAAATAATACGACACACGCCGTAACCGTATTAATTTGTTAAATGAATTCTACCGCCAACTATAACTGGGGTAGTTACTGTATATTGAACACCTAATCTCACCGTTATACGAATATTATTGGTACGCGTAATATGCAAAATAGTTACACGAAAATGCAATGGTTGTGGACATTGCATAATCTTAGAGGTTTTAATTGGTTCGGAGCGTAGCGAAGTGTTTACGGTAAGTGAAAACAAAAATTGCAATTTTGATACATGCGACACAAAAAAGTTACCTTTTTGATGCATGTCTATTAGTTATACAAGATCAGATCAGAAATACATGTTGGAAATTTTTTGTCCGTACGCATGCGTGTTCAGATTTGTAAATTAGCGCAACAAAAACATGTACATTCACGCGTTTGCGTAGCAGGATAATCATCATATGATACGCTCCAGACTACACAATGCTACGCATTTTCTTAGTATATATAGACAAGTTGATTTAATTTTAATAAGTTTTTTACAACAATTCTAAATAAGATATGCAACGTTCTCGGATGAGAAAGTGTAATTTGTTTAAAATATGTTGTCCACCTGTCGTTATTCGACTTTTCACGACCGGTGCTTGAAGAGAACGGCTATGTATTTAGTCGAGTGATTCTTGAAATTCAAAGAAAATTTCGTTTGGTTTTGCGGACCTGTAAAAATCAACAAGCGCGAAAGCAGGTTGATGACTAGGTTATTGTTTATGAGGGCCATTAAGTCGTGGCTAGATCTATTGCGGGGTATGTGTGCCCAGGAAAAGAGCATATCATCATGTCAACGGCAGGTAGGCCTTTATAATGAACGTAGGAGTAGGCTTTGCCGATGGCCGTCGTTTACTCCGCCTGGACTGTTGTGATGAATATGTAGCTTTTCTACTTATTGGATTGTATCTCATTTAGGATAGCTATGTTCAACTAGTCATAAGCCATCCATCTATAGCAGTGAATCATACATTCTGAAGCTGAAATGAGTTCGAGATGGAAGTTTTCAATGAAAATCTATTGGCGTTGATATGTTTTAAAATTTGTAGTCATTGCGATACAAATTTTAAGTGATCAGAGCTTAAAGTATGTTGGAAATTTAAAGGCCGCTCAGAGAGACCCACTTGTTATGTTAAATGCTGAGGTTGTAATCGACCATTCAACAAGATGAAGCTTGTAAAGGTTAAATCGGAACAATTCCGTTGAGAGTGAAACACCTTTCACTAACTAGGTTGTGTCTAATGGGTTCCTCTGTGGTAGGGATAAAATATGTTAAGATGATATCAATGCATACCCGAGCATGAACTCAATTCACAATATCGGTTAGTTGTATAGGGAGGAATTGGGAAGATTGACTGGATAGGAATTAAGGTTCTCCACATGTGAATTTGCGTTGTCTAAAAGCGTAGCAAGTCGCTAATTCTCTAGATGCCTTTAAAGAGAAGATACACTTGAAGAAGCCCTTGAAAGATAGATAACTTCATGGAAAATGGATCTACCATTGTAGCAGTGTGTACGAGTTGTATGGTGAGCTAGACTGTCAAATTCGGGGAAGGTACCGTAGGAAAACCCTTTAAACTAATCCCGAACCAAGCCGGAAACAATATGTTGTTTGGAACTACGAACAAACAAGGTGAAGTGTCACTGTTCGTAATTCTGTTGCAGAAACTTTCGGAAGGTGTAACGACTTTAGGGCAGTCGGTTTATTGACTTTGCAGAAAGCAATAAACTTAAAAGAAAGTCTATGTAGGGGCAGCGGGATAAACCAGGAGGAGTTGAATGACGTCTTGGTAAACCCGTAGTAAATCCTTGAAGGAGTGAAACATACGGATAGGATAGACCCCGCGGCATGCTGGTAGACTCACAGTTACCATAGTTCGAAGTCTTTTAGGGAGGCCTGATGAGCCCAATGCTCCCCGCAATTGTGCTTCTGATGGAATCTGCAGGCAGAGAACGGAGTATTTGCTCTGGTTGCCACCCAGAGATGTGAGGCCATCATGTAACGCAAGGATCGAAAAAGGTATCCATGTGGGGATTGTGGCTAGACTCTACTGCTGAGAGAGTAGGGACACATGGACCTAACTAATGCCCTGAGAATGGACAGGGTATGTGTTATTTCTAAAGTTACGTCACGGGTCGGCATATTCGTGAAACCACAGTCACACAAACCCGTATTCTTTATCTTTTCTATCAGAATTAATCTCCACTCTTCTTACTATTTCTTTATATATTATAACCAAGTAATTTCTTTGTTTTCTGTTATTCATATTGTTATTAATCATAGAATTAGTATTAGCAAGTGAATTCTAGATTAGTTGTGAAGATCTCTATTCATTGAAATGTATAAAAAACCCCGATATTGCCTTTTTCATAATTGCAATCACTATAAATTTTTTTTTATACTAAGTATGCAATCTATCTTTTTTTAATATCTGATAACTTGAAAATCTAGCAGAAAAATATTTTCAAGTTTTGAATTATATTTATTAATATTTGCAAGTTCTAGTTTTGATACACTAGCCAGTTATTTAAGTTAAATTTATTAATGAAATGCTTAATTTGATTTCAACATCTATATTCTTTACAGTCCTATAAAAACAGTATTAGAAGTTGGAGATTTGGATTCTAATTTGGAACTTTTTAGGTTTTTTTAAACCTCTTTACTTCAAATTACATTTAGTATAGAGGTACTTAAAATGTTTAGATTACTTTCAAGCAAAAAAAACCATTATTTTAAGAATAGATTTAAAGCACAAGATTTGCAAATATAGTTAGAAAATTTTAAGAAAACTATAACAACTAAAAAGTAAAAATCTAAGAAAATAAATTCTGTTTTTATATATAAAAATACTAATAAATAACAACAAACATATTATATAATTAATACTATTATTTAAGATTTTAATAACAATCACTTGTGTTATCAAGAAAAAACAACTTTCTTTAATAATTATTTAAACTAAACTAGTACCAAAACAGTTTAAAGAGTTAAGGTTTTAAGTAAACAACATCTTTAATTTTATATTAATATATAAAGCAGATTGTTGCTAATAAAAACTAAAAGTATATAAAAAAAACTAAAATATAGATGATTCTTTTAATGGTTTGTACTAAGGTCAAAATTTTTTTTCAAACAGATTTTTTAATATATTTAGTATCTAAATCAGAAAGATATTCTAGAAATAATAAAAAAAAATTGTAATTTTAGACTATTAAAAACTTAAAAATAAAATAAACTAGAAATATTTTTTTTTAGTTTAACTTTTTGCATATCATACTTACTGACTTTTCTAATTTATTTTAGCATTTATTTTTTATTCAAAAATGAGGAATTTAGTTTCTTTCTTATAAAAGATTATATTATTGAAGAATTTTTTTGAACAGTTACAGTATATGTTGTAATATAATTCAATAAAAACACAATAGATTCATATTATTTTACTAACAATTACTTTATAAACATGCTATTATATTAATAATTATTTTACTAACAAGCTTTTTTTATAGGCAAATAATTTATTAACAAGTTTGTTTTTACTAACAAGTTGGTTTAACCAACACACATTTTTCAGCAATTAATTTTATTAATAAAATCAATTTACTAACAAGCTTATTTTACTAATAATATAACTTACTAATAAAATTATTTTACTAACAATACAATTTGTTAACAATACAACTTATTAACAGATAAAAGCTTATACTTAATATAGATTATAGTACAAAAAAGATTAAAATTAATATTTAGTAAAGAATTAAAAATTTTTTTTTTTTAATCTTTGGCAGCCTTGCCAATCACCTTTATTAAGAGTCTTATATATATAATTTTGTACAAAGTTGACTTAAATTCTGGCTTGATATTCTCTGGCTACTTCTATGAGTGCCCAAGAGTGGTCTGCTGCACTGGGCAGATGTTAATTTGACCAAAAGGCTATACCAAGCTAGCTATTAGAACTATAAAAAAATGGTTTTATCTTTCTTTCTATATAATCCCTGATCAAACCTAACCAAGAACTTTGTATTTTTTTTTTTTTTTTCTTTTCTTTTACAGCTTAGTCTTAATCCTTTTCTAAAACTTCTTCATCAACTTTTTTTATTAAATTTCTTATTGTATCACTTTTTGAAATGCCTTCGTTCTTTTTTTTGTCAATAGGACTAATTCTATTTGCTTTTTTCTAGTCGATAACTGCTTCATAGCATTTTTTTTATATATTTTCAAAGAAACTATTCTATGCTATATTTGTCTATATTGTTATAAACTTCTTAGCTTCTTTAAAAGTTTGGGTGAGGTTTTGTATTGTTATTTTGGCTTTTTCTTAGATTAGCTCTTTTATACTTTTGGATCTACATTCTTTTTTCCCTTTTGCTAAGTTTCTTTCTAAGATTTCTGTTAGTTCCAATTTGCTTGTTTTCTTCTAAGTTTCTTCTGAGAGCACTGACCAAGCCAATTGATAGCTAAGTTTTCTGTAATAGCCCAACCTTTTTCATAATCTTTACAAATAGCTAAGTGTTCTTGGTCTTTATTACATAAAATGCAGTATGGATTTTTATATCTATTTGAACATCTTTTTGCTAGAGTTTTCAGTACTGGTAGTTTTTTATTAACACATTTGATTAGTATTGTTATTTCTCTATTCTTCTTTATACTTGTACATCTGATTCTGCTTTGATTTTTAACTTTTTTCTATAGTAGTGATCAGTCGTATTCTTCTTTTTTTTCATTTGGTTCTAATTTTTGGATAGTTAATGTAAATCACCATTCTAAGCCAATCTTAAAATCTAAGATGTTTTTGATGAATTGTCTTGTTGACTCTTCTACAATTATTTCTTTCTAACAGAGTGATACATTTGAACTAGGTGATGGCCTTACTATAATCATATCTCTATTTTCTATACTACTTCTTTCTTTTGCTATTTTATCTACTCTAGTATTTCATTTGTTATCACTATGTTCTTTAACTTTAACTAATTCTAACTCTATCTCTTTTAACTCAAGTAACTCTATTATACTTTTTTTCAGGTCATAGTTCTTTTCTTTGATTTATTGTTTGCTTCTTTTTAGCTTTTTTCCTCTTTTAAGACCTGATATTGCTGCTGCATTATCTATATAGATCTTAATTCTTCTTTTTTTTAGTGCTATTAAGATTACTAACCAAATTGTTAGCAGTTTTGATTTGGTTAATAAGAACCAATTTTAAGCACCTATAGCACCTTTATTAATTACTTTTTCTTCTTCTGCATTAACTTGTATTCAGCCTGCTCCTATGTGATCAATATCTGGAGCATTGTTTGTTGCTGCTTTCTTAAATAAACTATTTGTATAGAAAATAAGTTCTTTATCTGAATTTAATTGGTTTTTTTAGTTCTTAAAAAATAAGAAGTTCTTTTATCTTTTTGCTTAGTCACTGTTTTTTGATCAATTTTGTGTCCAAATCATGATATATTATATCTTTGAGCTGTGCTTCTAACTTGTTTATTTTAGTTCTGTTTTCTTGCTGCTGGCTATATATTATTTTTTTGTCTATTATAAGTAGTGAGTCTTTACCTTTTCTGATAAATCTTAATAACGAACCTTGAACTTCTTCTTTGTAACTCTATTTTTTACAACTTTTTAGTTCTCCTATATGATTAAGACTACATCTTTCATATTTTTTAAAAACCTGATTTGTTTTGGTTTTGACTGATTTGATTTTTCAGTGTTCTGTAAGTACTTTTTTTAATATGTTTGTAACTACTTTATTTATTAAAAAGTTATTGGCTTCTTTTTCTTTTGATAATTTTAGCACTATCTATTCTCTTTTCTTGTTGTCTTTTAAGCAATTATCAAGTGGTTTTTGGAATGCTTTTCTATTTCTATTTGGTAATATATATTTATATTTTAATTGTCTATTACTCTTGTTTTCTAATATCCTTTCTTCTATTTTTTTAAACCAGCTGGCTGTTCTACTTTGCTCGATTCTCTTTTTAATAACTTAAGTTGGTATTAAGAGATCATTTTGTCTTCTGCTTTGTTAATAAGCTGATTTATTGAAGTTATGTTAAGTCTTTTTAGCACTAGAGCTGTCTGAAGAGTAAGTTTGTTTTCTAGTATTTCTGCAATTTTTAATTTTTCATTTTCCTCCTTAATGTTTATATTGTTAAATTAGAATAACATTTGCAAGTCTTTTGCTTTTAACATTATTTGATGTGCTAGATTGTTTTTTTATAAATTGCTACATACTTTTGGTGTGATTTTATATTAATTCTTTTCTATTGTGTCTGTAAGCAGGAGGCCTTGGTTTACTTTAATTTTTGTAAGTATCTCTTCTAGTCTAGTTGAATTAAGTCTTGCATGTAAACTTGTAATTTGTTTTGTTACCAGTTAATTTCATAGTGCATTGCAGTTGCCCATATTTCTATATATGATTATGCTATTGCTAACTGTTCTTGTGATTCCTAGTTTGTGCTTTGCTAAATCTATTATTAAACTTTGAATAGTTTCTATTGTTCTTTTAGACAATTTTGTTGTTTGAAGCATATAAGTTAACTTTGGCACTATACACATGTTGTTTATATATAATACTTGTGTACCTGTTATTTTTTTAGTATTTAAAAGTCTTGTTGTTAAATGTACTAATTCTTTTACTTTTGACTTAATTTGGTTTTCATTGAGTCTGCTATTAAGCCAAATTCCCAAAAATCTTATGATTTTAGTCTTTTCTTCTTCATGTATTTATTCATTACTAAGTTTGATCTTTCTATTTTCTTTAAATTCACTTGAATTTGTGATTATTAGCTTTGATTTTTTTCCATTTATTTGGATATCATTTAATTAAAAAAATCTTCTGCAATTTGTAATGTCTGCTTCATTTGCTCTTGACTATTTGCTATTCATGTTGTATTATCTGCAAAAGCTATTACTGCTTGTCTCCAGCTTGTCTTTGTTAAATAGTTTAAGTTATTGTTATATAAGTTTGAGATCTCTATCATATAGCCTAGGTTTGGGTCTTTTTGGATTCTCTCAAGCAAAGGATTATAAAAGATTCTCTATACTAAAAGTGAAAGCACC